ATAAGTAGGAGAAAAAAATTAAAAAAATTAAAGAATTAGCTGGGCATAGTGGTGCATGCCTGTAATCCCAGCTACTCAGATACTCAGAGGGCTGAGGCCGGAGAATCACTTAAACCCAGGAGTTGGAGGCTGCAGTGAGCTATGATGATGCCTCTGCATTCTAGTCTAGGCGAGAGAACAAGACCCTATCTCAAAAAAAAAAAAAAAAAAACCACAAAAAGGTAATAAGGCTATGAACAGACTTTTCTACTGGTCTGGAAAATATAATTCAAAACAGTAAGATTTTTGCCCATGCAAAAACTAAGATGTCAATAATAATAAACTAGAAATGTGGCAAACATAAAAACCTTAAGCTTAAACTCAACGAAAATTTCAAATTTGATGTATTAAACATGGCACAGGTAGTATTCTCTATAATTTGCCTCTTAGAATATCACAAATCCAAATTTCATGCTTTCCAAAAAACAGGCCTTCAATCCTGGGTTAATGATTGCTAGCCCAGAAACATTTACAATCTGATAAACTCCATAGAGCACACAACAAAAATGTAAGTGTTAAATGTCTTGCCCTTAAGCTTGATAAAATCAGGTTCTGGCAAAATACTCAAGAAAAACAGAAGTGAAGGCTGTGAAGCTACACCACTGTGAGGTTCCAATTCCAAAAGCAACAGTGAGAGCTCCATGGGGAACAGGTACTGCTGTGGCAGACGCAGCAGCAGGAAATGGGTTTTCAACTACTTAGAGTCAAAAAGGCAGCTGTTGATTTAAATTATACTTAGGGATCCTGACACTACACATAAACCCCCCAGAACTCCAAAGCTCTGAACAATCCTGACCAAAAAAGTAAGCAGGTGTCATCAATTACCTGGCCTAACACGGCCCTCCGTTCAGCCCAGTGCTGTCCATGCCAGTGAAATGCACTTGGATGTGGGCCCAAGCCCACAACTCATTCACTACACCTTTCAGGCTCTAAAATGTCATAGAACTGGAAGTAAAATTAGAAGCACAGAGATCCAGAAACCCAAGTGCATTTTACCATAAAGAACTTAGCTCCCTTGTGTTAACAGTTGAGAATATCACAAACTTTAGCACAAGCCAGCAGTTCCATAGCAGAAGATAACTCCATTTCATCAGATCTAAGGCACCCTTGATTCTATGAAGCAGTTCCACTAAGAAAAAGATGTAGCCAATTAAATTATGGTATATCATTAATTTTAAAACACAGCATATCCTATAGATGTTAAAAAATGAAAAGAAAATGTGCAAGTCAGAATAAATAGGACATTAAAGATTAACACAAATATGAACGTCAGTGGTAAAACTCCCCATATGTCAAGTTTTTGTTGTTCACAGATTGAATTATGGGTCTTGGCCAAACTCTAATTTGCTGTCTACCTTCTAATCCTTTCCCCTTTGGTCTCTGCACCCAGCCAGGCCCTTTCAACTCACATCCACTGAAACCCTTCCCACCTCTGCTCCTTAGACCAGACTTGCTCCCTCCTCCTGCACCAGGAAGAAAGGGAGAAAAGACATGTACTCTTTCAGTGAGGGGGAAAATAAATAAATTTGAGAAATATAAACCGAACTCCACCTAAAACAATGAATCCAGAGAAAAGAATGCTAAAGATCTGAAAATGGTAAAAAGCCTAAAACATAGCTGAAATAATGAGGGGAAAAACAGGCTGTGTCTCTAGGTTTCTTCATTACTGCAAGGGAACTTGAGGGTCAACACAATACTGTGTCTAAATAACGACAATACCAGCCCATTTAAATCCCAGCTCCTTAAAAGTGATGGATTAAGCTGAACCTTAAAGACATTTTTGAAATTTTTAGTCAGAAATAATCTTCTCTGCTTCTGAATTCTTGATGTGTTTCTACCTCTTCTTGCACTTAACTATAAATACAAAATAAAATGTGGAATTTGAGTTAATTTCTCCTTTATTAGGTAAGAGAAGAGAGATTCCCCGCCCCCCCCTTCACATTAACCTGCCATCAATTGATGTTGATTATTGAAAAAGAACATGAAGATTGAAAAGAGCCTACTGCTAAATAAGTTATAGCTATTGTAAATAAAGAGCTACTTTTTCTCAGATCGAGAATAATTAACTCTACAAGGGATTTTTATTTTTAAGTGAAGAGTATGTAAAATACCAATGTGTATTTTTAATGGCTTTAAATACAAAGTATGTCATTAAAAAAATCTGAAAATATCTGATAAGAGCAAAGTCTCTCCCATCTGAGAAGAAAAGGTATAAATTAAAATTTCTTCCTGAAAAGCGTACTACGAGAAACCTTAAGAAATGATTTTAGAAATAAAGGAAAATTTAATCAACTTATTGTAGTTTTTAAAAAGTACTAAAAAAATGTAGTCTTCAAATGAAATTTAAAATAAAAGCTAACATTTTTCTTTAATTAATCATAATTACTATTACTACCAGAGACTTCCCTAAATATTCAGAACAAAGAGACTGCCTTAAAAACAAAAATAGCAAGATAGTAAATCCTGAAGCCATAAAGAAAAAATGTGTTGAAAACCTGACCATGAAAATAAAATTTGCATAAGGCAAAGAAAGACATTATTAACAAGTACTTGTACGAAAAAATACATGACTAACAACTGTCAAAGGATTAAAATAAGCAATGGAGAAAAACATTTGTAAAACACATGACAAAATCCCAAAATATAATTCTTAAAAGAAATGAGAAAAAGACAACCCAGTTTAAAAATGGGCAACTGACATGACAACTCGTTATAAAAAAGAAATGTAAATGCTCGTTTAACTTGTAAAGATGCTGAACCTCATGGAATTTTAAAAAAGCAAAACAACAAAATGCCATTTTCAATCACTAGATTGAAAAGATAAACCTGGTAAGACCCAGCGGTGGCTACTTTGTATTTTGTGTGGCTCATGAATTGCTGGTGAAAATAAGAATTGCTAAAGCCATCTCCAAAATTAACAATATTAATATACTGAAAATGAGTATCTTCCCTAGTGAAATTATTTTTGAATTAATTTGGTAATACTATTCCACTAATAAAAGCAATGAAATATTTTGATATTTATTGACTCAGAGGGCTGGCCATTAAAAAAATCAAGAGGTAGAGTAAGTGTAGAGTATGCTTTTTTCATATAATAGTCTAGTTAAGGCCTTCTTCCCAGCTAGTTAACTTTTTCTGAACCCATTAAGAAGATCAAAAAGTATGTTGTTTTCTTACACTCAGATGAGACGGTGCTCTAATCCAGCACTCATTTTGTTCTTCCTGATTTTGCTTTTCTCTGGCCTCTTTGAAACAAGACCATTGAGTGTGTAGTTAGACAAAAGGTTACAAAGCAAAAATAGCACTGCTTTTGCCTCATCTAATAAACTATTACACCCTAAAAGGCAGAATTAAAATGTACCTGCCCCATGTACATTGTAGGAACACAAAAAATATATCTTAACTGAATATATGCATGTTACCCTGTAGGAATTCATTATTTTAATAAAATTTCATTGACCATCTACACTGTGCCAGATTATATCCTAGATGCATCTACCATAAGAATATGTTACCAGCCAGGAGAGTGCAGAGTCTGTTATAGAGACAATAATATAAACTAACACTTACAATAATACATTATAATCAATTCTGTAGTAGAACAAAGTACAAAGCACAAATTAACTTTGCCTAAGAAAAGAAGGCTTAAGAGAAGCTTCATAGAAAGGAAAGACTTTAGATTAGAAATAAATCTTCAAGAAAACACTATGGCTGTGAGTGGGTGAAGAACGAGGGTACTCCTCAGACAACCTGGGCTCAATTCTGGCTCTTTTATCCAGGCAGCTGTGCAATCTTGAATAAAAGGTTTTTATTTCTTTGTTAATGAAATGGGAGTAAAAATAGGATCTACCTCAAAGCTTGATTAGGAATATTCATAAGATAATACATATAAAGTGCTTAGCACTATGTAACAATCAATACATTTTAATTTTATTACTAGTAGGACATTATTTCTGAGGATAAGAGAGTCCCAGCTCCAGAGGAGGTTAAAGGAACAGAGGATTCAGCAAATTTGAGATAAGGTGAGTGCTCAGCCTGTTGGAAATCCTACTTCAAGTAAGGCAAACTCCTTTGGAACAAAACTGTCTCCTCCCTTCAAGATGCCCTCCTCAACCCTATTGCTCTATGAAATAAATTACTCCTTTGGATTTTCAGACAATATTTCGTATTCTTTTCTTTTGGCTTCAACTTCAGCCTGTCTTACATGAGCACATATAGTGAAATTAGGCTTATATCAGACTCAAGTTCATGACCTCAACATAGAAAGGGTTAAGTACCACAAAGGGGGGTGTCTAAGAATTGTCCCGGGAGTTGGGAAATTCTACTTACTTGCGTACATGCTAGCTTCCCTTCTAGAATGGAAATGGCCCAAACATATTGCCTGTTTTCGACCTGCAAGGAGGCGAACTCCTTCATTCACCAATTTACCAAGCACTGTTCAAGATTACGAAGTTTAAAAAGACACGATGGAGGTAAAGAAAACAAACATGCAAACAAATGGTAACTACATCTTATAATCAGTGCTAATGACAACACTTTAGACAAATCGATTCCAGATGCCCAGAGGACAAAGTGAGTAATCCTTTAAATCCTGTAAATGCACAGTAGGCACTCACAGGCTGAAGGAATATATAAATGAACGACCTTACCAAGGCACTCAGTTTGGCGTTAGCCACGACACAACAAACAGGTACCACGAGACCCAAACTGCACGGAGCCCAGGATACCTGAGGCTGCAGGCTTTGAGCGCCAGCACACTCGCATTCGGTCAACACACGTGCACAGAGCACCCACTGTGAGCCAGGCGTGGTGCCAGGGTGACCGGGGCGGGGTCCCATGGTAGGGTCTTAAGGTAACCCTAGCAGCCTGGAGAAGAAACAAGGAGGGCTTCTCTATGTCACTCTAAGTAAGACCTTGGAGGAATAAAGAGGTCTTCATGACACTTGAAAGTCAAAAGCTGAGTCCCGCAACCTGCGGGCAGTCCACCACCGCAGAATTGGGAAGAGGGTAGGTCAGTCCTCCGGGAAGCCTCAACCAAGATTCCAAGGACCTCGCAACTCCTCTAGCCCATCACCAAACCCACCCAAAAGTTAGAGCTCACCTTAGAACACGGACGCCGTCACTGCGAAGAAATTCTAGCCTTGGTCAAAGACCAACTTCTCCTAAACCCCCTTACTGGATCTAATTCACTAGTTCCTTCCTAGTTACAACCTAACCCACGAACCTGAGGCCCTTGAGGAGCAGCCGCCTCCTTCAATCGCCACCTAGAAGCTCGCCTGGTGGGCGGGGCCATGCCGGCTCAGCGCTGAACGAGGAGACGAAAGTCTCCGCCCTCCTCAAGCTTGGTTGAGAAGTCCTTCTGCAGTTGCAAATATACTGCTGTTTGAAAGCGGGCGCCAGAGGTGGCGGGAAACTGCCCCTGTGCGCCCATTGGTTGAATTATAATCCAATCACACAAGGATTTACTCTGGAGTGGGCGGGCTTTCGGTTGCCCAGAGACGCCGAGGCACCTGGCCTGCTACCTTTAGCTAGGCTTGATCCGGCTTACTGGGACCCCTTCCCGCTTTGGTGCAGAAAAGAACTGAAGCTGTGATTCGAGACTCCCGCACTTAAGCAAGCAAAATTCCGCAATTGCTCCACTGAACTCTTGCCTTAGAGATTTTTGCATTTGCCTTTCTTGTCCTCTACAGGCCTGCTTCCTCACCCCTAACACCTTTAGAACCACCTTTAGAGCCACCTTTTCTGGCTTAGTAGTTCCCTCTTTGTTTAAATTTGTGTTTCTTCAATGACACACTTTCCCACATGTCTATTCACTACTTGAATTTCCTCCGTATGAACGTTCTTGTCACTGAAGTATGTGTTAACCTGTCCCTTAAGACGGCATTGCTCAGTCTTCAGTAAAGCCAGTTACTGCATCTACCCTCTCTGGTCAACTGGTTCCAGTGAATATGGAAGAGTTGCTGGCAGCAAGTTCACATATCCATTTAACCCTTTCCCATTTGTACTAATATACAGTAAAATAGTTGTTTGTGGCTCTTCATACTCTGGCTAGTTTTCCTTTGCTACCTTGCTATCCCACCCCCTGGGTGCCTACACTGACTCCTGTAATCCCACCAAGTAGCGTAGGATCTGGCAGATAATAGGTATTTAATCCATAACAGAGTTGAGCTACACGTGGTTCCCAGTTCCCACAGTGTTTTTTAATCTGTTTGTTTGTTTTTAGAAATGGGGTCTTACTCAGTCACCCAGGCTGTCAGGATGGAATGTAGTGGCACAAAAATCCTCCTGCCTCAGCTTCACAAATAGCTGGAACTACAGGCATGTACCATGATACCGGGCTAAGGTTTATTTGTTTGTTTGTTTGTTTGTTTTTTATATATAGACAGGGTCTAGCTATGTTGCCCAGGCTGGTCCAAACTCCTGGTCTCAAGCAATGGGGCTAAGGTTTATTTGTTTGTTTGTTTGTTTGTTTTTTATATAGACAGGGTCTAGCTATGTTGCCCAGGCTGGTCCAAACTCCTGGTCTCAAGCAATCCTCTTGCCTTGGCCTCCCTAAGTGCTAAGATTACTGTTGTGAGCCACTGCTCCTGGTCTAGTTCTTACATCTATTGTAATTAGTTCCTGTGTGTATTACACTCAGTACAAGGTGAATATATTGAGGCATTTTGCTTCGTAGGCATCTACCATGCTTCACAGACACTGGTAGGCACTCAAAGCAATTGTGTTAAATGAGTAAACAGATGAATGAACAAACAGATGAAGATGTGGGGAGCCAGGAAAGGCAAATAAAACATTCAGTTCAATGCCATTTGTTGCCATTTGTTGCCACCTTGAGCCAAGGTGTCTGTTAGTGAGCACTAGACTTGGACACTTTTAATATCCCACTGAAACCCACTGGCAAACTGTATGTAGCAGAGAGTTAATGCTGGAATGCTATGACAAGAATACCAAGTGTAATAGACAGCCTTAGTAATCCAGATTCATATTAATTAAACTACCATGCCAAGGCCGTAAGAATGGAATGTCGCTAGAAGTAGATACGCCTATATACTGCACACCTCTTGTTTTTAGGGTCAATGTGAATGTTTGAAATTGTTTCTGTAAAATTGCAAGTGCATCCTTCCTCAGCCAGGCTGGATGGGTAGAAATCTATGTTGCAGGGAGAGAGTAAAGAGGTAGGGCAAAGGTAAAAAAAATAAAAAATAAAAAATAAAATATATATATATATATCTCAAGTGATCTCTACCCACAAACAGCTGCTTCTTAGAAAGACAAAAGAAGATGTAAGGGGGAGCACATAGGAGGCAGTGTTTGCAACCCCTTACACAGTGCTTTACAGTTTGTCAAGTTTTCCACAAGCATTATCTTATTTGGTTATCACAACAAACCTGTAGAAGGCTATAACAGGTATTATTACCCCATTTTACAGTTAAAGAAACTTACATAAAAAGAAATTATGTGGCTTGTCCAAAACTACACAATAAGAGACAGAATTTGAAACTAGGTCCTTTATCTCCAAATCCAGAGCTCATCACTACATACAGAATATTTTAGGGAGACTAGCACCTAAGTGGCAGAAGATGCAGAATAAAGAATAAATCAGAGTTCCTCACTTCTAAAAATGGATTTAGGTGGAGTTGTGGATAGATTATAATCAAAAACTTTCTTTGACTTCCTATCTTGTTAAAGTACTAGGTCTAGATGCTCATGTAGGGCAGGACCCATACCCTCAAGGTACCCTCACTCTGTTAGGGGTACAAGATGTTTACAAAAAAAAAAAAGACAAGTGATATCACACAAAAAAATGTTTATTAAGTGTAATATGAAAAAGAGAGGCAATAAATATGGCAAAAATGAACATGTAAAAAAGGTTCTATCGGCTCAGCGCCTGTGGCTCAAGCGGCTAAGGCGCCAGCCACATACACCTAAGGTGGCGGGTTCGAATCCCCAACCTGGGCCCGCCAAACAACAATGACGGCTGCAACCAAAAAATGGCCAGGCGTTGTGGCGGGTGCCTGTAGTCCCAGCTACTTGGGAGGCTGAGGCAGGAGACTCGCTTAAGCCCGGGAGTTGGAGGTTGCTGTGAGCTGTGATGCCATGGCACTCTACCCAGGGGGACAGCTTGAGGCTCTGTCTCAAAAAAAAAAAAAAGGTTCTATCAAGGAAGATTCAAGGCCCAAAAGAAGGAAAGACCTCAACAGGCAGATGAACCAGCATGAATGAGTAGGTGAAGGCCAAACCAGCAAAAGTGAAGGAATATTATTATATTTAGAGGTAAGACTGGAGAAGTGAGCAGGAAGAAGAGGATTCATAAAAGAGAATGAATGGTGGAAGAACAGGGAAGGCATGCTACAGAGGTAAGGGATGATGTGCACAAGAAAAGAACCTAGCATGCCCAGAGAAATCTAAGCAGACAGAGGCATTCTGATGTAGCAAGAACAAGTGTGGGGGGAAAGAGAGGAAAAACTGCCAAAGATCTTGAATGCTGCACAGGGGATTATTTGAGAACTGTTGGGTCAATGTTTGCTTTACCTGTGAGCTGGGTGAGGCGTTTCCAGGGAAAATGTCGCATTGTTGATGAGATGTGAGAATGCATAAAGGTGGAGCTAAAACATCATTTCTCCTTTTCCTTCCTTCTCTTTGATGTCAAAGCTATCAGACCAAAGCAATGCCGTCAGAATGGTGCTATCCAAAATTCTATCATGGAGGAGTATTTTCCTCAAAGAAATGCTGAACTAAAGTTAGAAGACCTGAGTTCAAGTTGCAGCTCACTAAGAAGATCTGAGTTCAAGTTGCAGCTCACTAAGAAGATCTGAGTTCAAGTTGCAGCTCACTAAGAGGATCTGAGTTCAAGTTGCAGCTCGCTAAGAAGATCTGAGTTCAAGTTGCCGCTCACCTACCTTCTAGATTTTTTGTCTGCAACACTGTAACCCTCAAATGCTTCAAAGTCCTTATCTGAAAATGGGAATGCTAATACCTACTTCTCATGATTGGGGAAAGAAAATAAGATGAGACTGTGACAAAGAACTTTTAAATGTAGAAACACGAAAGATTTTTTTCTGTTGTTTTTCTATGTACTGTGGACTAGAATACACACTGGAGTCTGAGGTAGTAAGAAAAAAAAAAAAAAAAACAGGGAGGTATCATTGCCATAACCCAAATACTAAGTTGTTCTGGGAGTGGTTGACAAAGAAAGATGAAAGCGAACGTGTGCCAAGGGCAACGGGTGCTTATGGAATAGGACAAAGAAGAAGTCTACCCAAACTAAGGACATGGCTTTGTGAGAACAGGACAAAAATAGGAAGGTGGAAACAGGAGTACTTGGAACTGAAGAAGATTAGACCAACCACCATTTGTAGCTCATTCATGCAAAAATATTTTTTGAATATCAACCTTGTGCCAAGCACTGCACTAGAGGCTTATTTAATACTGACACGTGGGTCAAAATGCCAGCCCTGCTCGATCCCTTCTATAGAATCTGCTCCTGCTCACAGCCATTCTAACCTTACCACCATCACCATCCTACCACCCCCAGTCCTGCTGGACCTGAATGAATCAGGGGTAGCACCAAGCTGGGTCAATCATATTCCCTTCCTAGATAACTAAAATAAGACTCTGTGGACCTAGGTAAGGTGGGAGCCACATAGAAGAGAGACAGACTTTTATGAGAGCAGTATAGGTCCCATACAACACAGACAAACATAATAAAAGAGGTAGAGCCTATATTGAAGACCATGAACTTCTGCCCCCCAAAACCACGGGTCTATCTGGTCCCTGTACTTTGAAAAGACAGACAGTTCAGCTATTCCTTGGAGCGAAACCTGAACCTAAAAATAAAATAACTTTTGACTTGAGCTGACTTGGATCATGTAGAGATGGAATACTGTTCCCCAAAATTTCATTTCCACCTGGAACCTCAGAATGTAACTTTATTTGGAAAAAGGGTCTTTGCAGATGCAATTGGTTAATATGAGGTCATTCTGGATCAGAATGCTCCCTAAATCTGATACTCCATTACTAAAGCAATCAACTCGTAAATCCTTAGAAATTTATTTATACTTTATGGAAATGTGCTGGCTACAAATTTGTTCTATTTAAAGAACAACATATTATCAAGGCAAGTCTGAAAAAATTACTTTTTTTTTTTTGAAACAGAACCTAAAGCTGTTGCACTGGGTAGAGTGCCATGGCTTCACAGC